TTCTTCTTCTTTGCTTTCTCTTCTCAACTTCTCCTCTAAAAGCTTCTTTCTTTTCCCCACTTTAATTCTTTTGTTTGTTGTTCCGCATCAAATTTGGTATCAGAGCAAGGCTTTTAATTGTTCTTACAATTAAACGGTCTATAACTTTTATATTAAACCCTAAATTCGGTTTGATCTGGAAAAAAAAAAAAAAAAAAAAACGTTCCTTGTTCAAAACCCTACTGTTCATTGTTCACTATTCAGTGTTCAAAATCACTGTTCATCGTCTCCATCATCAAATCGGACGCCGCTACCCACATAATCCATCACAGCCAACATTGTTTCGGGTTAACAGCAGCTCCATGTTTTCAGTTCCAAATTAGCGTTACAACCCATCAGCGCCATCAGCCACGCCTCCACCAGCAGCACCTTCAACAACGACACCGAATCAACAGGCCCCGTCCAGCAGCGACACCACCTACAACTACTGAGATCAACAGCGCCGCCACTGCCACAACAGGTCGCCTACGCTAACAGTAGTAAATCCTTGTCGGTGGCAGCACCTTAACCAGTGTTGTCCTCTCCGTGGCATCAACAGATCTCCATCTGCCACCGTTTCCCCGTGTCGTCGCCTTCAACCGTCAGCCACAAGCAGAGCAGCAGGACCGACCGACGACAACCACCACTCTCAATAAGTTACAACTATCTTCACCTTCAACAATCACGTCGCGCCGCCGGCAAGAATAACGAAGGAAACTCGACAAAGCAGTAGAAGGAGTGTTAGGGAGAAATAATTAACCTAGCCACGTCAGCAGCTCCTGCCACGTCATCAGACCGTGCCATGCCAGCACGTCGCCATATCATCGGCCTCATCAGCATACCTTGCCATGTCAGTTGCCACGTAATCCTTCACTACCATATCATACGGTCAGAAATTTTATCCATTGAAAATCATCATTCCTGGTATGTTTTTACACTTGTTAACTAGTATTTAGCATTAATATTATATTTTGTGCTTGCCCATAACCAAATTACATAGCTCGCTTCTACGTTCAATTACCTTAATTTGGAGCCTATTTAGCATCGAAGATCTGATCCTCTTAATTAATTGTGGAGCTTGGTTAAATTAGTGGGAAACTAAACATTGTGTTTGGATCACTTGTGTGCATTTAGAGGACTGACATTATTTACTTGCATATTTTCCTGGTTTAATTTGTTATTACTTAGTCTCCAAGATAAAAAATAAAAAATAAAAAAAAAATTTAAAAAAAAAATTATTATTAGTATTATTATTATTTAGCTATATTTTTATTTTATGTTTTACTTGCAAGAGTTATTTGGTGATCTCAATCTCAAGATTAGTTTTTGCATGCAATTACGTAGTGGTCGTCTAGTACACAATCTAGAGGTCATAGCTACCATGGACCCGAATTCTAGTAATGTTCTTAGAGATATTCAAGAACAATTACAACTTATGCGAACAGAAATGAGCAACATGTCCAATCAAATGAACAACCTTTCTGGGAGGATGGAGTCCATAGAAACTTTTCAAATAAGACAGTCTAGTGAGAGCGAGCATTCTAGTGACAACCATAGGAATCCTCAAAGACCAGTTCCTCATAGGAACCGCCATCATAATCAACAACAAGGTCACAATGACTTTAATGACCCTCATGATAGTGAGCGTTCCAATGATTACCGTCAAAGACTAGTTCATCCTAGGAACCGTCAATACAATCGCAATCAGGGCCATCATGATTATGATGACCCTGATGAGTGAGTCATGAGGCATATCAAGGTAGAAGCCCCAACTTTTGAGGGTCAACTTGACCCGTGGATTTTTGATAGATGGATCCGTGACATGGATCAATTCTTTGGCTGGTATAATCTATCTGAGAATAAAAGGGTAAGATTTGCAAAGATGAAACTTAGTGGAACCGCTCAGCTCTATTGGGAAAGTGTAGAAGAGTCTTTGATTAGGAGAGGTCAACCCCCTATTACTGATTGGGTTGAAATGAAGACTAAGCTAGAAGAAAAGTACTTGCCCCGCTCTTATAGAGGAAATCTTTTGGACCAATGGAATAACTTGAGGCAAGGAGGCAGGTCTACTAATGAATATGTGGCACAATTTGATGAGTATAGGATGAGATGTGCAGTTAGGGAGGATGAAGTGATGACCCTAAGTAGATTTCGAAAAGGCTTGAACGATGACCTTAAAAGAGAGATTGTGTTTAAGGGTGTTTCCACCCTTGATGAAGCTTATACCCTAGTACAAAATTATGACTTGGTCACAAAAAGTCAGTGGACAAGACGGCAGGACACTCGTAATACCCCTTCTAGATCTCAACCTAGTAGTAATCACTCCATATTACGTGCCCCACCTCGTAAACCCAATCCTTTGATTTCCTAGATACCTAGAGAAGATAAGGGTAAAGGTATTTTTCATGAAGCACCTAAAACTTCAAGAATTCAGTGTTTTAAGTGTCAGGGTTTTGGTCATATCTCCTCTAGCTGCCCTAATAAGGCTTTGTTCATCAAGGAGCAAGAGGGTATGAATGAAGAAGGTAATTGTGATGATAAGGTATATGAACCCAATCCCGATGATTTTCAAGATCTAAATGATGATGATAATGAGTCTAACTTGCTAGGATGTGTTAGGTCTATATCCACTCAAATCAAGACTACTAGGTTAGGTGTGGTTAGATGTGCTTTAACACAACCTAAAGGAACTGAGGATTGGAGAAGGACTGCTATTTTTTACACTTACATTAACTATGGAGATAAAGGGTGTAAAATCATCATAGACAGTGGTAGTTGCATCAATGCAGTTTCCTCGGGTAGTGTATCCCGCTTAGGCTTAAAGTCTGTTCCACATCCTAAACCTTATAATGTATCTTGGGTTAATGATACATCTATAGCGGTCAAAGAGAGATGTCTTTTTTCCATTAAGATTTTTTACTATTATGATGAAATTTGGTGTGATGTCATTCCCATGGATGTAGGACACGTCATTTTGGGTAGGCCTTGGTTATATGATTTGGACGTTACAATCTTTGGACGATCAAATTCTTGTTCATTCACTTTTCAAGGTAAAAAAATCCAATTTATTGGATTACCCCCGAGGTCTAATGATAATGGTCAGAAGAAGAATAAAGTGAAAGATGGAGGGCTTAACATAATAAGTCCTAAGGAGATTTGTAAAGAGTCTGTTGTGTTTGCTGTAGTGGCTAAGAAGATTGTAGAAGACTTTTTAGAGGAGCCACCCGAAGAAGTAAGAGAAGTGTTGAGAGAATTTTTAGATGTTTTCCCTTCTGAACTACCTGATGTTTTACCCCCTATGCGTGATGTTCAATATGCCATAGATTTTGTCCCTGGAGCTACATTACCAAACTTGCCTCATTATAGGATGAACCCGAGTGAACATGCTGAATTGCAAAGGCAAGTATGTGAGTTGTTACAAAAGGGATTTATACGAGAGAGTTTGAGCCCTTGTGCAGTACCTGCACTGTTAACACCCAAGAAAGATGGATCATGGAGAATGTGTGTTGATAGTCGAGCTATTAATAGGATTTCAATCAAGTATCGTTTTCCAATTCCTCGATTGGATGACATGCTAGATATGATGGTAGGAGCCCAGATCTTCTCTAAGATTGACTTGAAGAGTGGATATCATCAGATTAGGATCCGTCCGGGAGATGAGTGGAAAACAGCATTTAAGACTAAGGATGGTTTATATGAATGGTTAGTCATGCCTTTTGGCTTTTCCAATGCACCAAGCACTTTTATGAGAGTAATGACACAAGTGCTTCGACCATTTATGGGAAAATTCTTGGTGGTATACTTTGATGATATTCTTATTTATAGCAAAACCAAGAAAGAGCATTTTGATCATCTTATTCAAGTTTGTACCACTCTAAGAAAGGCAAGTTTGTTTGCAAATGTCAAAAAGTGTTCCTTCTTTACAGATCAAGTGGTCTTTTTAGGGTTTATAATGTCACGGAACGGAGTCTCTGCTGACCCCCAGAAAGTCCAAGCGATAGTAGATTGGCCTGAACCTAAGACTATTCATGAGGTTCGTAGTTTTCATGGGCTTGCGACTTTCTATCGTTGTTTTATTAAGGGATTTAGCACCATCATGTCGCCTATTACAGATTGTTTGAAACAAGGTGAGTTTAGGTGGAGTAAAGGAGCTAATATGGCATTTGAGGAGGTTAAGAAGAAAATGACGGAGGCTCCAGTAATGCGGCTACCTGATTTTACTAAAGTCTTTGAAGTAGAATGTGATGCTTCGGGAGTCGGTATAGGTGGAGTACTTAGTCAAGAACGTCACCCTGTGGCCTATTTTAGTGAGAAACTTAATGAGGCCAAACAAAAGTACTCAACTTATGATAAAGAGTTTTATGCGGTGGTTCAGGCCTTGTGTTATTGGCGTCATTACTTGTTACCACAGGAATTTGTTCTTTACTCTGACCATTAAGCCCTCCGCTATCTTAACTCCCAAAAGAAGCTTAATCATAGGCATGGTCATTGGGTTGAATATTTGCAAGCATACTCATTTATTTTGAAACATAAATCTGGAATAGAGAATAAAGCTGCAGATGCTTTGAGTCGTCGGGTAACGCTGTTATCTGTAATGAGTGTTGAAATCACAGGATTTGAGAGACTTAAAGAGGAGTATGAATCTTGCTCAGAATTTGGAGAAATATACTTGACATTGAAGGATGAGAATCATCGTGTTTTAAATGGTT